TCTTTAAACAATAATATATATTACGATAGTAGCTGTTCTTGAAGGTATGACTGAACTTAATCTCTGAGACCAATATTTTATTCGGGTATGGGACTGGATGTCATGGAGTGATGTTCGATTTGCTGTTCTTTTCTGACTTGATGATGGCTAAATTGGCGAAACGTTGACTGGTTTTATTTTTCTTTGTCTGCATTTTGGAGAAATACGGCTGTGGGGTTTGGAGTTATTCCAATTATAACCTAACGTTGTTTATTATAATTAAGACTTTTTTTTTAGAATATTTACATCGATATCTTCAGTTTCACTTTCGAAAATACCTTGATATCTAAACGTTTAAAAAAATATTTTTCTGCTGAGTCACACTACATACTAATAATAGCAAATAAATCTCATCAAAGTCATTGATTATTGAGATGTTGTTGTTTGAAAATATTTGATTTGGATAATTCAATGACGAAATAGATAATTACTTAAAATTAATCAGAAACACAACTAAACCGCAATTTATGATATCATTATCTATCATCCTTTGAATGAAGGAACGATAGATATAGATATAAGTTTACCAATATCACCAGGCTCAGTCATCTAGACAAACATAAATGAATAAATAAAAAACTCATTTGAATTTGTAGGAAGTCAATATCTATGTATAGTAGAGGAGAGAATCAATTAATCTATATATATATATATATATATAGTTTGCGTATTTATTGTAACTAAGACTATACGTACAAGTACAGAACACTTTAACGACAATTTTAACTGTAGATGCTGATTAGTAGACTGATTAGTAGATGCTGTAATTTTTTTTTAGTAATATTACACTGGTGGTGAAAAAATTACACTGGAATAAACAGAAACTTGATTACACTGGAAGACAAAGAAAGAAAAATGCCGACATGAAATGAGGTTTAAGTTGTTCGTGTAGATCGACAAAATTAAAAAAAGATTTCTGATTTGGTTTTATAGATTCCTTATATTTTTCTTCTTGCATAAATAGCTGAAAATGTATTGTAATTTAAAAAGAGAATATACTCATATTGCGATAGTTAAAGTATTTAGCTTAGATAAATCAAATAAACAAATATGAACCAATGAATAAAAAAAAATTGTTTCATGATTTTGGTGGAACTTCAGCCCGAAATCTCTCCTAAATCTCAAAAAAGTTCTGCTGCAACGGTCCTGGTCTTCAGTTTTAAAAAAAGTTTTGTAAAACCATTTAGTTTTTAAAAGTAATCAAACTGTGTTTGTAGTGAACACTTTAAAGTTCCATAATCCTAGTAGCGGACTCTTATGCACCAGTAATAAATCATAAAATTAAATAGTGGAAATGACAGGTTTTTATTAAAAATTAACAGGAATGTAATAATTAATATTTAATGTAGTACATAAAATTAAGTACATTTTTTAGTGATTGGAAAAGTCAGAGAGTCATAAATTAATTTAATGCTTTGTATTTGTATTACAAAAAAAAAAAATTGTGATCAGAATCGAAAATTTTCACTCGTGTTTTACGTTTCAGACGGTGAAGGTACAAATTTGGTCCAGCGTCTGTCAGTCTGTAGTCAAGTCGATGTAACGGGCATATCGTTTATCCGATTTTCATGAAATTTTCTGAGATAGTGTAAGTTGGTGTCTAGATCGTCCTATACCAATTTTATCAAATTCCGTTTGCGCACTCGTATATGTATTTTCTTAAATATGCCAATATATCAGAAACGGCTCGTTCAATTTAGCTCGAAGATGGGAAAAAGGTAGGTATTAATAAAAAAAATGCATTATCAATTTTATTCAATTCCCTCCTCTACTTTCTCTTATATGAGAAAAGGTGTTTTCCTTGATATGTCTATAACCCTATAACTGCACGTTCGATTTGACTCAACTTTGGAGTAAAGTTAGTTATTTGAAAACAGATAATTAAGTATGCATCAATTTTATCGAATTCCATCTACTATTCCCAAAAAAAAAAACTTCTGCTTTCATATCAGAAAATGTATAATTTGACACACCTATGGTTTGAAAACGGTTAGTTCGATTTGATTCAAAGTTGGAGAATAGTATAGAAATTACCTAGTATTAATGTCATTGAAATCCAATTAATAATTAAAATTAATATAAATAATCGTTAACAATATAATGGCTGTGAAATGTGGCAAGTATTAATCAAATGGTGTGGGGGTTAGGATAATACAATATTTTTATGGGTTTATAAAATTTCCAATTAGTTTTACAAAATAAGTTAAAAACAGAAAGAAATATAATCGAAAAACACCCTAAGAATATATGAAACCATAACTTTGGGATAGATCAAGGTATTTAAATTAAATGGTAATGAGACTTCCTGATTTGCCATCCATGGGATTCCCAAACTGACAGCAAAAAACGAGTAATTTTCTTAAATTTATTGGGCTTAAAAGTTAAAAGCTTATTAAAGAAGCAAGTATTTATAAAAGTGGAGCATCTGTAGCCTATTTGGAGGAGAATAAAAAAAATGTGAATAACTGAAGATTTTATGAAAAATAGAACTTAGCGTAATTTAGTTTCTATAGTGGTATAATAATCCTTTAAATGGTTTTGACAAAGACAAACTCTACTTGCGTTTTAACTCAATTTTTTCAAGTTTACTATGAATCAGTTGATAATTACCTAAATTAAGTATTTTTTAGTTATCACTTCCTATTCCACAAAAAATGTGACAATGTAAAAACCACATAACTTACATTTCTTACTTTTCTGCTGGAAATCGAAATGTGGTTTATGATAACTTTTATGCAGCTCTTGATGTCTATTAACGCCTCTTTTAATGTGTATCGGTATGTTTACTTTCCTACACCATTCAAATATCAAAATTTTGGGGCCCGACATATCAATATATTTATATATTTTAAATTTACATCCCCAATCATTTGTGAAGTTTCCACTCTATTTATAAAGCAGGACAGAGAGGCACAGTGAATGGTTTGTACACACCCTTTCACTTTGCCTCTAATCTTGTCCCTTCTCGTCAGATACCCTATCTGCCTTCACTCAACATTCACTGATTCTGGAAGTAGGCACATAGTAATAGTGAGGCTAGAAAAGAAAACCCATGGTGATTATAAGTCAGTAAGTATTTTGAAAAAATGTAATTAAATCGGGATCCCACAACAAATATAAACATGAAAATTCATTAAATTAATTTTGAAACGCTCTTTAAAGATGTATTCGTAAAAAGTATTGTTAATAATCATATATGATCTAGACACGATTAATGACTAAATATCCTTTCTGCGGCCTTAAAAAGGTCGCATCATCAAACTAATTGCTGCACAGTGGAACGAAACGCTCGATTTTCTGTACGTGAGGTTTTCATACAGATATTTCATTATTACTTTCACTCACCTATGTATGTAATATTTAGTGAGAGAAAGTATTGCGATCGCGAAATTTTTTTAATCCGAGTTTTCAATGGATATACACGTTTTAAGGTCCCCTGAATCCAAATAACCAAGCCCCACAAAATGTTCTGTGTGTGTGTGTGTGTGTTTGTGTGAACAGTCAAGCTCAAAAACGAAAAGTCTAACGAAACTGATATTACGAATTCAAAGGTAGGCTGGGAATTTACAGTAACTTTTTCGTCAAAATCGCCTACTCGCAAGAGCTACTTTATATCATCGATTTTAAAAAAAATTTTTAAGTTTCTCGAAAATGGCTCTAACGATTTTAATTAAATTCAACATATTAGTGTAAAATTAAGCTGTTTTTAATTTAATATTGGTCTTATTCGCATTGATATTCATGTTCATAGTGAATGGAACGGTTAGGTGGGAGGAGTAACGTGAAATTGTTTGTTTTTTTTTATTTCTTTTTTTTTAGTTTCCATACAAACCAACCAATTTTACATCAACCAGGTATAAATAAAAAAAAAATAACAAACTTGAAACGAAAATCCTTTGTAATTAAAAAGAAAATAGATAGAAATAGAAATACTGTAACTTATCTGCTAAATACAAGGTTATCTTATCCTTGCATAAGTAAATTTAGTCAATTTCTATTGAATGGATTTCTTCTAATGGATTGTTAATAGATTTGCAGAATAAGAAATAAACCTATATTGTTAATAATGTATGATTTATTTAAAACCAAGTGCTTTAATATTTTCATGAATCATTATCGTTTTAAAAATTGTATCCGATTAAATTGTTGTATTTAATCAAAAGATATTTCAGTTCAATCTTTCAAAGATTATTCAGTTCAACCGATAGAAATGATACTTTTATCTAAACGATGTATCGGTTCAGTAAAAAATAATCTTTTTATTAAACGATATGTCAGTTTTAATAAAAATTATGTTTTAATAAAAAAAAATTATTGTGTTTGTTTAAAATCAGGTATATTTCAAACATAAATAAACAGTTTTATATTAACACAATATATTAATACAATTAAAGGCAAAAACTAATATTAAATTTTTTTCGAAGACTTATAAAATTATATTAGAATATTAATACCTTTTAAAGTAGACCGAAATCCAATTAAACCCCTAGATCTTATTACTAAATAAATTAATTGGAAAATAGCGATGAAGCCATCAAACATAATTAATCACGAAAAAAATAACAATTGATATTTTTATATTCTTCATATTTTGGTAGTCCTTTTAGACTAACTAATAATAGACAGTTAACAGAGGCCTTCAAGACCTTCGATGACAACCATGCGCACATCCAAATGGAACTAAATTAATATTAATATTAATATTTATTATAAATAGTCCTTCAACACTAGAATGGTAATAATATAAAATTTCGATTTATATGTAAAAATTAAAGGATTTAAACTGAGGTAAAATTAAACTGGGAGTTAGTTTATTGTATTGACCTATTCTTGTAGAGGAAGTCCACAATCGATCCCGCAATAATAACAAGCTGAAACGGAGGAGTTTACTTTCAAGGGAGCCCTGGTAGCTTTCTACAGGGCCGCGCATGCGCAGTCACCATACCAGCTCATTATAACAGCCATGTTGTGAAAGAACCTTTTTATTTATTTCCTTTTATTGTAGTGGTCTGTGATAAAGTTATACCTGAATTAAAAAGATTTATTCGTAAAATAATATTACCTAACTTTTTTTAAGGTATTAGCGCTTCTACAACTTGTAAATTTTATTGTTATAAACGTCCTAATTGTTGCAATGTCCTGTAAATTATCGGGTTATATTTACAATCGGTTTCTAGTGTAAATAAGGATTTTTTTTTTGTTCAGAATATTAATGTATTTTTAACTTATTATTTGATTTTAGTGCTTTAATTAAACGCATCTGATACATCAGTGTTATTCGCATTTATTCTGAAATTAATATTTTTGTAAAATGTCTAAACAGAATTCCTGTAAGAAGGTAAGGAGCCACTCATTTTTTTTATCTTTGGTGACGTTCATAACTTTTACTTTGATTATATATTTTTTATAGGTTACTTTCTACCACAATGTGATATTTTAGTTGAAAAGATATGTACCTCAAATTAACCGAATTAGTGATTTATCTTCATAATGGCTCAAATTTTTTACACAACAGTTCCAAGTAAATAATAACTCTATTTTTAGTCAATATTTTGTAGTCTTAAAATTTTAGTTGTTTTACTAAAAATTTAAAAATATTAGGCTCACCATCTGCTCACCAGTCTATTGAAGTAGAAATTGAGCAATTTTTGCAGACAACCGTTGTACTTAACACGGATGTACAAGACAACAGTGAGTATCTATATTTTTTTTTTATATCATTTATTATTTTATTTTTGTTATATACGCAATACTGTGAATAATTTTGCGATTCCTTTTTGCTAATAACATTCTTGTTTTTAAACTTAGGTGTGGTTTTTGAAGAAGGAGATTCATTTCAATGTGGAAGGTGTCAAAATCATTTTGCATTTTTAGAATTTATTATTCATAAAAGAACTTGTCAAGGTATCTAATTTTTTTTTTTTTGTTATGTAAAATAAAGCACACCTACTATTGTTACATTTTCATTGCTTAAGTAAATCATTTTAGGAGTTCAATTTAATCTTACTGAGGAGGAGACTGAAACTTTTTTATCTCAGCCTCTTTCATTGACTGCTGTAGAGGATGAATCCATTATTGACAATAATAATCAGCAAATAGTTATTGGCAATGGAGAATTATTTTCATTTGCAGAGGAGTCAACACAAAATGAAGTATTGCAAGAGGTAATTAAGGAATGAGCCGGTTGATATAATTTTATTTATTTTAACATATCTCAACACTCATTTTGGATTATTTTATTCTATTCTATTTGTTTGGTTTATTAAGGTACTATTCGATGCTAACGGTAGCAACCACCATTCTGTAATGCCAACCGTTGATGCTTGTCAGTTTCGCTGAAACTGCTCACCGCCGCGTCCAAATTTTCTTAATTTAGCATCCTTATCAGAACTAATTTTAAATAAAAATATTAGCCTCAAATTTAATAGTCGTTATTTGTATCACAAAGATATCAATACATATGATGGCGGAGTTTCGATCTTATTTAATTAATACACATTTTATCTGGTAGTTAAAATCGAATAACAAGGTTAGATTATGTCTATATTATAAAATGTTAACAATTGTATACTTATTAATGCCCTCCTACAAAATTATGGTTTCTTGTAATATTTTGAAAATAAAATATAAGCATTCATGGTGGAAATAAGGTTATAAAATATTATTTTAAGAATGAGGATGTACATCTGATTTTAAATGTATTACTTATTATTTGTTTGATAAGTAATAGTATTTATTTCATAATTAATTAGTAAATATCACATATTTGTAATGAAATCACAGCAGACAATGTTTTACCGTTTTATCAATAGGTAATCAGTAAATCAGCACTTAAATTAAAAAATACAAATTGATTTTTCAATATGTGGATTTCAGTTTTTATCCAAGTTTAAAATTTGTTGGATTATTTAATTTCGTTTAGATTTAGGTATATTTGAATTTCTCTGCAAAATACTTTTGGTGGAATAAATAATCTTGTTACTTAAATCTTACAAAATGATTTACTATTAGTTTTTTTAAGATTTTAATAATATTTCATATAATTTTCTAGACTTGATGAAAAAACATAGGAAATGAAAAGTATCAAAAAAAAGTCTTAAAAACCGATTTACTATTAACTTCGTTTAAATTTTAAACCATATTTCATGTAATTTTGCCAGAATTAGTGAAAAAAACATTGGAAATAAAGCATTGCTCAACTGCCAGTTGGGTAGTACCAGTGAAATATCACCTTTACAATAGTATAAAGGCTTTGTTTTTGTAAGGGTGCATTAAAAAAAAAATAAGAAATGTGCTTACAATCTCAAAATTTCCACTCGTGTTTTATATTTTAGACATCAAGGAACATTGTAGTCAAATCCATATGATGTGCATACCACTTACTACTACTTTAAATCCATTTTTCGGAAATTGTGCCGGTGGGTATCAATTTTATCATATTCCATCCAATGATGCATTAGTATGCTTAAAGGTTTTTCTTAGTTATGTCTATATTTCCAAGCGCATTCGTTTATTCAAGATTTGAGAAAGTTGGAGATTAGTGAAAACTCAAATTCTGCCCCTCTACTTCCGCTTAAATATCTAGAAATATACTTTCCTCGATATGCCTTTCTCTCAAATTTGCACGTTCTATTTAGTCTAAAGTTGGGATATACCGATTCACTGCGTACAGCTTCCTATGTGATCCCTTCTGATGGATTGTACTATATTTCCTGCCTATCTTATTCTTCTTGCCTTCATATCATGAGATATTAATTGATATAATGCAATACAGATATAGCAGTTCTTTATTAGTCCTTCTCCTTTATGTGTTAGTATTCTGATCCCAGATAATTCAATTTACTATGTTGAGAATTGACTTTATCTGAGGGTGAAATTGATAATCCTTAATATTAGATTTTTCAGGATTTCAATACCTTAGAAATCCTATCAATTTTTACAGCCTACTTGTACATGTTTCCCCTTTCATTCTCAAACCACTGTATCGATTTCAGCAGTATATAAGTGCATTTTTGTTTATACTTAGTGTTCTTCCTTGAAGTCTGAAGAAAATACACTGACAGGCAAAAAATTCCACCCACTTGATTTTTCCATGTTTCGTTCTAAAAATATTTCTGTAAAGTTGTATTTGTATATAATACATGGTATTTGTAGATAATACTTAGTATTTATGGAATTTTATAATCTTTTTTACCTTTAATAATCAAAATGTGATTGGGTAAGAAAGATTAGAGACAAAAAAAATTGAAAAACGAACCATTATTATTCTAAAAGAAATTAATTACATCATCATTTAGTAGCGAGTGTTTCCTCCTCTTACCTTCACTACTTCTTGAAGACGCCTCGGCATACTTTCCACCAGTCGGGAAATGTCCCTTTGCTGGAGGATAGCCCATTCCTCCCGAAGAGCCCTTTCAAGGTCCTGCAGTGTACCAGGAAGTGTTGCACTCGCTCTTATTCGTCTTCCGAGGTTATCCCATAAATGCTCAATGGGGTTCAAATCTAGAGAACGTGCTGGCCAGGCTAAAACCTCAATATTGTTGTGTTGAAGGAACGTCTGCACTATGCGGGCGACATGTGGGCGTGCATTAGAATAGAACGATCGCCGATTTCGTTGAGGATAGGCAACACATGAGGTCCCAAAATCTCATCTACATAGCGAATGGCCGTCAAAGACCCTCCACGAACAACAACCAATTCTGTGCGGTGCTCCATTGAAATCCCAGCCCACACCATTTGGGAACCACGTTGGAAAGGTTGGCTCTGGGAAAAATTACAGGCTGCATATCTTTCGTTTCTTCTTCTTCACCCCGTCTGGAGATCGAAGAGCAAATCTTGACTCATCTGTAAAAAGTACCGCACTCCATTCGTCCATAGTCCAATGGCTGTGTTCTCGAACAAAAGCCAGCCGTGTTACTCTGTGAGTTCTGGTCAACTCTGTTCCTCTTACTGGACGAAAAGCCATTATTCCATACTCATTTAATCTTCTCCAAGCGGTACATTCAGAAATTTGCACACCTCGAACTTCTTCAAGCTGATGAATCGCTTGAACAATGGTAAGGTGCCGGTTTCGTAAAATTTTCAAAGTCAAAAACCGGTCATCCCGTGGTTCTGTTACCCTAGGCCGTCCAGAACCGGGCCTTCTATTGTAAGAACCAGTTTCTCGTAAAGTTTCATATGGAACTCTGATGGCATTAGCTGCATATCTAATGGAACGTCCATCATCAATAAGTGCCACACCACGCACAACATCCTCAGCACTAAGAGGCATTTTTAAACTTAATATTGAAAAAACTAAAAGCTGGAGACTAAGAAATGTGCTGCAAGAAACGGCACTGAATTAATGATATTGAATAAACATTTTGATTCCATAGAAAGTAAACATTGGAATCTAGAATCATTTCGTTGAATTAAGGATTAAGGGTTATTGTCCTCTATATTAACATTTGTAATTGAAAACAAACAAAAAGATTACCTATTTATTCATTAAAAACAATAGACCAATCCAAAGCAGAAATATTTTTAGATGAAAACATGAAAAAATCAAGTGGGTGGAATTTTTTCGCCTGTAAGTGTAGTTGTGCTAAATAGACATTTCTTCCAAATGATATATTTTTTTGTGCCAGTGTTTCAACTGCCTCCCGCAGTGCCACATCCTACGCACTGAAGACGACCTGCAAAGTGGGTCGATACGTCGGCAAAAATTGAAATAATTAATATATTTTAATTTTTTATTTATTTGACTGCACCCTTGACTAACTCCTTCTCATGATATATTTTTTTCTATTATGGGTGATAAATATTCAGGATGCAGTCATTATAAAAAAAAATTTTTTATTTGTACCAACGTTTCAACCCAAACATGTGGGCCATCATCAGGGCTGAAAATTTTAAAATATAATCGATCACTGATGTAAAGCATGACCTTTTCACTTACATACCAAATGTGTCAGTACTTGAAAGCCTTCAGTGCTCGAACCACAGTTAGTAAGAGAAAATATTGCAAATTTTTATAAATAGATAATATATATTATTTTTAGTTTGTATTACATATTAAATTTTTAATATTGTGTATTGTAATAATAGTAAGATTCTTGTACCATCAATCACTATAGTTTATTATTTACCATTATCGGTCGTATAATATTATATCTCTGATTGTATTTTAAATTTTTTTAGCCCTGATGATGACCCAAATGTTTGGGTTGAAACGTTGGCACAAATAAAAAAAAAAATTATAATGACTGCGTCCTGTATATTTATCATCCATGATATGTAGAACAGTCGACTAGCTTCCTTCAATTTTTTTTCTATCTGTTCTGATATGGCTTAATAGATATTTTGTTTTAGACATTATTACCATTTAGCCTTAGTTTTTGTAGAGCTGCAATTTCATATTATTTTGTCTTAATTTTAGTAAAATATTTAATTTAGGTTTGAAATATATTTATTAATGAATTATGGAAGTATTACATAAAAAAATTTGCTAGACTTTTCAGGAAATCAGTCCAATGGAAGATGTGGAATTTCAAACTTCTGTAGATGTATCTGATTTAAAAACAATAAGGATAGTTGAAAATGATCAGTTGGATATTGGGCCTCTAATAGGAGAAGACTTCATTATCGCTAATGTAATAATTTTTTTTAGTTTATAATTTTGACCTTTCTTCATTAATTTTTTTATTTTCACTTGTTTGTCCGTATGTTCATTTTAACAAAATAAACTCTTAATTTATAGTGTTCTCTTTATTTGGACATTTATGGGATAGTATGTCACCTACATCAGAAATGAAGTGGAGGACTGAGTTATCCCAAAACATCCCAATAAAGAAAACACTTAAATTGAGAGTTTATTTTGTTAAAATGAACCTACAGACAAACAAGTGAAAATAAAAAATTAATGTAGAAAGGTCAAAACTTATCTAGCATCAAGTTAGATAAAATATATTTTTATTTATTTTTAAGATCAATTAATTAATTTATTTATTTCATAGAATAATAAAGAACCCACTGAAATAATACTTGCCGAAGGTAACATTAACCGTTTAGAACTACCTCAAATTGTTTCATCGATCGCTAATGGAAGTGAAGATTCTGAAAATGTTAGACTAGAACTTCAGACTGAACCTGCCTTAACTAATGTCAAAGAAAACGTTGCTACTGAAGAGCAAGTATGTTAAATTAATACATATAAATTTATTTTGTGATCCCAACATAGATGTGAAGATAAAATAATGTATACTTAAATTATAGGTAGCAGAAGAAAGTATTTTTGAATCGAATATTCTTAAGTGTTCTGTTTGTGGAAAACAGTTTCGAAAGAACTTTGATCTTCAGCAGCATGTTAGGTCTCACACTGGGGAAAGACCTTTCCAGTGTGTTGTTTGTGGCAGAGGCTTTGCCCAAAAATCAAATGTCATGAAACACATGGCAACTCACAAGGTAAAGCACACTTATGACAAATTATTAAAGTTAAATAAATGTGATACTGGGGATTAGCTTTGATGAACTTCAAACAGCATTTAGTTGATATAGTAGATATTTCTATGCTTTTCACAGGTTTATTTTGTTTCAATTTCTTCAAAGTTATATGTTTTTTTAAAAAGAATTTCTGAACTCAGATCAGTGAAATCAAAGAAGTATGGATTTTTTTTTTGTTCTCCCCTTCTTCACCTTTTATGCTATATGGGATTTTCCTAGAGCAGTGCAGGGGATTATGCCAGAATTAAAAGTTCCTCCTCTCCCCCAACACGGACGCAAACTTGTAATTATTTTTTCATCTTTAACTTAGGCTATCAGGTTGCCGGGCAACACAGGTGCTGGTTTCTAGACGTTGTGTGCACGCCTTAGCCCGCTCGCCCACCCCACTCTCGGTATTAAAGAATTATGAATCTTTAAATAGAATTATTTATAAATTACCTTGCCTGTTTTATACACTATGATGGTTCAATTTGTTTTGTTGCAAGTTTAATAATCCCCATATATATCGGGGAAGGGCTGGGTGACCAAGTTGACTAACACATGTGAAAAACGTATTGCCCAGCAACTTGATTAACAATAAATTCAATATAAATATTTTGCAAGAAATGGTAGTGATTCAATAATATAAAAATAATAAAACACCAGGACTAGATTGCATAATGTACGAATTTTATAAAAATACAATACCGAGCTCCCACGAAAAGATACGTCAAGTATTTAACAGTTTATTAGAGAATCCCATTAATATTGGGCAAGAAATGATAAACGGGTTAGAGAACTATTGTAAAATGTGGAAAAATAAAAAATAATAATATGTCAAAAAAGGAAATATAAAACAGATAGGAAATTAAAGTGGGCATATGATGGAAAGCCAATAGAAAAAGTAGAAATTTGTCACTATAAAATACAATTTATCCTTATCAGGTCATTTTAAAGGAAAGCTTAGATTGGAAAAAATGTACTTAATAAGATGTGGAGTCGAGGATTATATCAAATAAGTGTGTTTCTCTAAAACATTAAAGTTCAACTCCATGGTATGGGCAATATGTTATCAAGAGTTTGTGGGGATAGAAAAACTACAAAGGTATTTTCTGAAAAAGGTGATTGGGCTCCCAATAATAATCTACTATTAACTATATGCTTTATCTCGAAACAGGATTTGATAATCCTTTGATATAGTGTATTTATACTTCAAAGTTGCATATTGAGTGTATTTTAAAAGTGTTGGAAATAAACCTCATACCACCTACAACTCCCGTGTGTCATAGCTAAATTAATTATTGAAAAGATACGAATTAAATTTGACATTTATTTCACAAAAAAAAAAATCTGCTGAAGGAGTTAAACAAACAAAAACATTTTTATGGAAAAACTAAAACAAGAGAAATTTTGTGCTCAAATGGTTCCAAAATATTCACGGGATCTCACTGACCTATTACAGCCATCAAAGTTAAAAATTGGTTAAGCCATTCACTCAAAAAAAAAAATCGTTACCTTTTAGCAGATAGATTAATCACACTTTCCACTGTATTTCACCAGAATTTTGAGATCAAATTAATTAAACACATTTAGCTCTAATTGTTTCAAAACATTCATAGAATCTCAATAAATAATTGAAGCCATCAAACTTGAAATGTATCCATCCATTCACCATGTTGCTTCACTTTCAAAATACTCAGGGGAGCTTACCGAATAATTTAAGATATCATACCTAATAATCGATCCACCGGTTAACTCATACAATCGTTACAAAGCTTTTTCAGATTGATTAAACACATTTCATTCAATCACGAGTCAGTGTTTTGTAGCTCTAATTAACTAGATTTGGAACAGACATATGACTCTATCAACAGAGATGAGGCTTACAAAGACATGACGAACATGAATATTCTCTTAAAACTGGTTCGTCTTGTGAGGATAACAATGGAGGGCAATATATATTCTGTATTAATCTAAAGGGACTCGTCCCAGAATAAATAAAATATTACTATTATTATTATTTGCTTCATTAAGATGATTGGGAAACTCGAGAGGTTTTTCTACTGAGACAGGAGTCAGGCAAGAGGATAGCCTTGGTTGCCTGGTATTTGAACTCTCTCTGGAGGATACTATGCTAGAGACTCATGTATCCGGATAACTGAGACCTTAATAAACAACACAGTACAGGTTCTTGGATATGCAGATGACTTATACCTAACTGTAAGATCTCTCAACGCAGTAAGAATATCTTTCGAGGAGCTGTAACATGCAGTAAATAAAAAGACAAAATATATGTGCAGTCTAACTCAACATGAAAATAATGAGTGATACGTCTTGTTAGGAAAGTAGAGATTAGAAAGAGTTCAATCGTTCATCTATCTAGGAACCTAAATAAACCTTAATTAAGTTATCAAGACTTCGTTGGGTGGGCCAGATAGCAAGGATGGAACCAAATGAAAGTTTAAAGGTTTTTTCGTAGCTTGTATATGGTACAAGAAGAGTAGGACATCCTAAGCTTTGCTGGAATGATAGAGTGGCTACCGACGCAAGGTCCCTGATTATTGTCTGAAACTGGAAGATATCGACTGGAAACAGGCAGGAATGGCGATCCTTGATAGGGCAGGCTTTGATTCAACAAGTGGGTCATTATGCCTTATAATAATAATTATTTCAGATATATGGAGTCAGCTTCTCATGTTACATTTAATTGATCCGTGAGTTGTGTATTTGAATATCATTTTTATCCAACAAAACCTCAACTTGCTGTCTTTACACTTTTTCGTGATCTTCCATGTTCTTCCTTTACCTCATCAAAATTGCCACTATTAAATTTTTTAAATTACTCAAAGTACTGTGACTTACTCAGACCATGCTTACTGTAAGCTTTTTCAAACATTGGATGCAATTCTGCAGTTTTCTTTAAATCATAAGTAAAAAGTAGTGCAGTCCACAAATTGTAATTTGTAGCACAAAACTCTACATGTTCAACATTATTAAAATGATGCTGTATGAAACTTGTATTATTATGAGTTGAAAATCTTTGCCAGCTGTTGAAAAACAAAATGGCTCCAATAATGTGGTTTAGCGGTTACCACATTAACAATTAAAGCCATCTATGGACTCTTTCATATTTACACACCTTATATGAAGTCTAGTTTTTAATTTAATCTAATTTTCACCATACGGCAGATCACGGAAAAGAACATATTAAGGGTAAAGAGCTCTCAGTATGGTTCGTGAATCTTCAAGTCCTTTCAACTGGGTGAGCAAAAAGGATATTGTTGATGCTCTAGTAGGAAAAGGAATACACAATGGACTCATTAGGGCTGTAAGTAGTCTATACAGTAGAACAAGGAATCTGTTTAGAACAAGTAACCATACATCTCGAGAATTCGATACAACATTGGCCAGTCCTCTTCTCTTCATATGGGTTCTCAATTTAGCCTTGGGATTAGCAAGAGAGAAGAATATGGAGCCTAATCTTGACTATTAATTTTTCATCGACCCTGGGGTGATGAAACCCAGTCTCTATAAAGTGGGTACTCTTAATTAAATAACTAATTAAGAGGAAAAACCTGGCAGTTGAGCGTGATATTGGCCCGTCACCTCCCTGCACTACCAGTGGCCATGTAACAGTACTTTCTCACATTGTACTTAACCCAAGACCCTTCATGAGTTGTTAGTGGTACAGTTTTTGTTTTTTTTTCTTTTGTCAGTAGATACGATGTAAGTCCTAAAAATGATTTTTGTTGGAACGAATGTTATATGAAAATAAAAATAAAATATTTTCGAAATACTATTTATTTTCTTGCTTAGTGTGTTTTAGGTAGTTTAATTTAAATCAATGGCTTCTTTATTGTAGGTGTGGCCTAAACAGCTTTCTACTCTGCCACCTGTGCCTTCAAATGTTGGTGAAAATGTAAATATCTTTTGTGTTTAATATTCTTATGCCCCTGCTATTTTAATGTTCTTACATATTTATTTTACACATATTATTTTAGGAAGAAAGATTGCTTATTGAAAAAATGTTTGCTTGCCAATATTGTACTTGTATATTTGATAACTATCAGGATTTAAAATCTCATCGCAAAGAACACATAAACCAAAAGGTATGTATTTTTCTCATCAAGTCTTTTGATGAATTTATGGGTTTTATAATAATACAGGAGATCGACTACTGTATTTAGATCTATTTATAGATTTAGTCGGTGCTCATCATTTACTTCTTTATTTCTTGTGAATATATTGCCCTTTTTCGTAGGTTACTAGATATATCAACTTATAGAGTGATTTATTCTTTCATTGAATACACAGGGTGTTCCGTAAGTAGAGAGAAATATTTAAAAGTTTGATACTAAGTTCATATAAATAATTGCCTAATTTCTAGCAGAAATAATTATTTTAGCAATGGTTAATTACTTAAATCAAATATATTTTAGACTATCACGTAGTCTTTGTTAAAACCATTTAAAGGGGACTTTTAAGCAGCTAAACAGCACTATGTTCTGTTTTTATAAAATAATTTATTATTCTCGATTTTTTTTTTATAACCCTACAACTTGACTACCTACCTACCTACCCCATAGCACTAGGGCCCTACAAGGGCCTGGCCCTTCTCCACTATTTTTCACCACTGTTCTCTATTCAGTGCCTTTCTTCGCCATTGTCTTATTCCTTGGCTTCGGAGGACCTTTTCTAGGTCATCTAGCCATCTTCTGAGGACATCCTCTGCTTCTGCGACCTCCAGAGACTTTCCTTCTAGTAATTTTTTGGGGATTCTGTCTGCCGCCATTCTCCCGATGTGCCTTAGCCACCTCAACTGAATCCATAATAAAAAGGACACCAGATCTGGCTCACAGTATATTTGTTAGAGTTCCACATTTTTTCTTATTCTCCATATTCCATTATCACAAACAGGTCCAAAATATTCCAAATATCCAAATACTCCTGGGTACTTTCCTTTCCCATTTATTCAGAATGTTTTCACTCTTTTTTGACAAATATGGCAACTTGGCTACAGATGTCCTTTTTGTGTAAAGTTACATAAACTTTTGTAAAAACTTCCTTGTTTGATAAGCTTCAAGTCCATATTAATTAAGTTGAAATTCATCTCTAGTTATTTAAAAAAATGATGATTTGATATTCTGTCACACAGGTGGGGGGCTCTCCCCAAAACTTTGGTTGATAAAGTCAAGAAAGAATATAATTGAAAGTTTTTCTTCTATCAATATTTCACTTTAATGTGTAGTTTTGTAAAGTACTTTACATCTGTAGCACCACACAATCATTCATCATGTAATTCAAACATCTGCAGTAATTTTCCAATCATTGAACCTAGTAATGTTTTGGCAACGTCTGCGGCGCTATCCAGCCATCAGAGTTTCATTTTGGCTTTGGTCCTTAATTAAGAGGAATAATTATGAACCAGATTAATAATATTTTATAATGGAGAAAGCTTCTTATTTCTTTTTATATTACAATATAAGCAATGTTTATTTTTCTTTCTCAGGTTTATAAATGTGCACAAAAATCATGTCCTATGACATTTAAAGAACTGGATGCATTCCTTGAACACACTTTTTCTCATACTGAAAAAGCATCTTATGAATGCCATATTTGCCATAAGGAATTCAAATCATTGGATGATTTGGGGCAACACCAGATATTCCATGAAGAGGGGAAAATACCCGCTAAGTAAGTTTTTTTTTTAATTTCAGTTTTTTCTTAACCATTAAGTTCAAGTGAATTCTGATTCCGTGGAAAATATGTTTGGGAAGAATAAGTAGGAGAGAGTGAATGTGAGATATTACTTAGCAAGCTCTTCAACGATAGGTTTCTATTCTAAATCAATCTACTTAATAGACTCCATACAGTGCAAGCTCCAATCACCATCTCAGTGTATTTATTATTCTTTAAATTATTCGCTGTCGATTGTTGATTTTTGACGCTTTGACTGAATTTTTATTGTTGAAAATGTCTCAATTTTTGCTGTGCTCCGATAAATAGCAGATACTACCATTTCAGTTTCAGTGTTACAATTTTTGATAAGTTTTTTGGAAATCAATTCACAAAGATGTATTCTAAACATATCCAAGTATTAGTAGTTGACTAACAAGATGTCACAGTCAATGTGTAACTATTTTAACCAAATTGTTTTGGTTATTCTACATCAAAAATTATTGGACATGTGACCTGTTGTTGATTCCATTGACTCCCTCCCCTTGGACCCAAGAAAAAAATATATAAGTTTTAAAAATGAAAATATTTTACTCATATTATTCTGGCTAAAGAAAAAATACTTGCATATGTAGTTTCTTTTTAATTTAGATGAGAAATAAGTACACTCAAAAGATTTTAATGAGCTTAGGTAACTTAAAAGTAAAAAAAAAAAAAGTATTTAATTGTATAAGTAAAATAGGTCAAAAACAATTTCAAGTGTAAAACAAGATCATATTTGTTTTAACATATAAATAAAAAAAAACATAAATACCAGTTTTTAACAAAATAAAAAAATATTTTCATGTGTTTATATGTATTCCTCCAATCATGAAAATCTTTCAAAGATTCTTGGAAATTCAACTAATCAAGTACCGACATAAAAAAATATCTATAACTACTAAAATCTCTCCAAATACCATAATACAACCATATATTACTGAAAAGAGAGTGAAATTCTCTAATTGTTGAAATTGTGTTAGTAAATGAGTATACATTTTTACTTAAATGACTTATGAATTGGACTTTTCAAATATTAGAAGTAAACATATTACCTGTATTAGAAGTCTACATATTACCTGTACTATTATTATTTTCTACATTTTTTTTATTTTTATTATTTTAGACAAGTATCATGCTGTAAATGCCGTGCCAAGTTTATGAGTAGTGAATCACTAGAAAAACATATGCTCACTGACAGTCATAATTACCCTTGCCCAAGCTGTGATAAAGTTTTTGCCTGTGAAAGATTTCTTAGGAGGCACATTAGTATACACACTACTAATATGAAGTATAGTTGCCCAGAATGCAAAAAGCCATTCAGAACTACTCATTACCTCAATATGCATAAGGTTATTCACACAACCGAAAAACCTTATAATTGTACGGTAAGATTCTCTAATTTTATTTAATTTTGATGATAATAGATTGATAGTTGAGTGTCGTAGACATTTTGAAGAGAAGTTGGTTGGAGTATTCAGTCAAAGAAAGAACAAATAAAATTTATTTTATTTTATTCTTCCTTTTATAATTCTTATTGTATTATATTGTTTATTTATATATTATCTATTGGATTCAACAAGTATATTTTTCATTTCATGCATTAACAAAATGTCTTATAGTCTTGTTTGAATAAACATTATTCTTTTTATTAAAACAAAATTATGCAACAGATATGTCCTGCATCGTTTAACCGAAGAGATAAATTGGCTAGACATAATTTGACTCATGAAAATGCAAAACGTTTTAAGTGTTATGCCAAGACTGGTTGTGACAAGCAATTCAACAGAAAAGGTAATATTCTTTCAAAGATTTTTGAAACTAATTGTTCTTATTTTCAGTAAACATAACCATCTATTTATACTAGTGGTATGAATGCTATTTAGAAAATAAATTTTAAATTTTCAGACAAGCTGAAACAGCATATTTTAACTCACTTTGCTTGGAAAAAATTTTCTTGTCAATACTGTTCTAAGCCTTTAAGTAATGTTTCTCATGTTGAAAACCACGAATTCCTATGTTCTACTGCCTTGAAAAAAAAAGCCAAAGCCAAAGTTAACCGGGAAAGAATAAAAAACAACAATATGCCGACTATAGAAATTGTTCTTTTTCCTCTTTCTGAACATGAAAATTTTCTGATTCCTGATCTTATAGTTCTTTCAAAAGATAACAATAACCCATCCGGTCTCACTGCCCTGCCAGCAATAGAGCCAAAAATGTCAACAACTTAAGTAAGGTACTTTTAATTAATTAAGTGATCTATATTATGTATGCTACTCATACAATAGCTCCAGTGGAGGAGTAAGTATAACCCTATTTTATGTGACCCTTGAATTAAGTGTCTTTACATATTGATCTCTTGATACTCTCTTTTTATTTTATTTTCAAGCATTCATCTTTTAATTAGTTATACTCCATCGATCTCAGTTACTGTAGACCATCACACAGTTCTTTTTCCTGTTCCCATAAAATATTATTTTTGGCACTTAAACGGGACCAAAGAATCATTGAATACAGTAGTAATATGTATTTCCATAGAAAGAGTCGACTGAAGCCTGTTCTATTCATTTTTAAATGTTTTTAGATTTTAATTTTATTGTAATTTTAGAATTTTTTTAATCAAGAAATCCCTGGGTGGTAATCCCACCAATAAAATAAAAAAGTCTTCTTTAATCATTAGTAATCAGACTCCTCTAGTCAACTTGGGAAAACGTTCCAATGTCTAATTGTATATATGCCTTATCTGTGTGATAAATATATATATATATATATATATCAGTAGGTTACCTATAGACGTATTTAAGTTCTAGTGTTAAGTGTTATAGTAAAATGGCATTAAATTGGAAAGCAATATTTTTACCAAATAACCATATGTTACTAATGTTAAAGACCTGGAACACTGTAATTCCTCTTTGTATGTAAGTTAATTATTGTTTACTTTAAGATAATTTTATGCGGCCTAATATTATTTGATCATCGAAGGCATTCTATTATGTTGTGTACAGTAACGTATTGTTAGATTCCTCTATATATGAACTGTGGTTTACCAGATGTACGTATTTTGCCTAACTTATTTGAAAACCTGTTTTTAGAATTATATAATATAACTTGAAATGATTAATTAACAATGTGATAATTTTTTTCACAAAATGTGAACTGATTAAATGTACTTTGCTTATATTTATATAAATATATATACACATACATATATTATATATTGTCATATCATTATTTTCTAAGTCATAAGTTGTTATTTTGCATCATCTTTATGTAGCTAATTATAATTAAATAAATAAAATTTTGTGTTTATTAGAATCAGTATGATTTAAAGTTATTTTTGTATTTATTAATTTAAACTGTATTATTTGTTGTTTATAAAATTATTATTTAATGTTAATAATAACGCCATTAATTCTAGATTTATTTTATTTCTCTTCTCAAATTCGGTGCTGTAAAGTAAGGGTAACAATTAATGTTTGTTTGTATGTTTGTGAACATTGTTAATTGTAGATTGATTTTAAATAAAGATTTTTAAACTTATTTTATTTGCATATTTTTTTTGTTTTATAATTGAATATTTTTCTTAAATGCCGCATAAAAACAATATAATTTATGGAGACTTAACATAGGACATTTCCAAAATCCAGCACTATAACATTTTACAAGTTAAGAAAAACTATCCTCAATGCATTAAAGATAAAAAGGTTGAATTTATATGAACGCTTAGTTAGGGAAAATTGCAAAAAAAAAAAAAACATTTATACAAAGAGATTGTTAAGAGGGGAATCAAGGAAGGCAAAATATTTTGAGAAATTATATACTAATTTAAATGTATTATTAAAAAATGATTAAAAGCTATAGACTTTAAATAACAGGTCTTAATGTACCCGAGTGTTATGGCATCACCTCAACAACCTTGAGTTAATCTACACCCATTCTAATCAGTGCAGATTATAAATTAAATAAATTTGCAAAATCAAATTTTGCGTTTGATAAATTGATGAAACATTCAGTTTCAATTCATATTGTATTGTTTGTGAAGGTTTTGAGTTCCTGTGTTAATCTAGTTCACATATCAAATTAACTTAGATTATCCATTAGGACTTCGGTGGTATTCCCATTTGTAGAAGCTCCTGGTGCTGCTCATTTCTCTGTACACTATCATAGGCCACTCGAAAATCGATGAACAAGTGTTGAATGTGGATATTATACTCCCTGCACTTTTCCAGAATGGTTCTAATGGAGAATATCTAATCTATGGTAGACTGCCCGCCCTCTCATAAAGCCTGTATGATACTTTCCTATATTCTGTTTGGCAAAAGAAAGCAGTTTTTTATCAAGTATTCGGGAGAATACCTTATAAGCACATGATAAGAGGGATACACCGCGATAATTATGACAATTAAGCACATCCCCCTTCTTGTAAATTTGGCATATAACTGCTTTGTTCCATTCGCAACGGATTTCATCCATCTTCCAGTCATTCATTATTATATTATAGAGGAACTTAACTAATTTTTCTCCTCCATACTTAAACAGTTCCGCAGGGAGCCCATCTGGTCCCATTGCTTTATTATTTTTTAGCTCTTCCACCGCTTCATAGACATCTTCCATTTCAGGGGGCTCCAATTCTTCTACGGCTATCTTCGTTTTTCCTCTTCCTTCTTCTGCCACGTCATTAAGGAGGACATCGAAGTAATGCCGCCACTGTTCTAGAGCTTGTATCCTATTTGTGATCAGGTTATCCTCATTGTCTCTACAGCCATTTATTTTAGGTTTGAATGTCTGTCGGCTGCTGTTTATTTCTAGGAAGAATTTTCTAACCTCTTTATTGTTTCGGAAATCTTCCATTTGCTGAAACCATTCCCTTTTCTTCCCTTCTTCTGGATCTGTATTCTTCTTCCACTGATCTTGTATGCCTTTGCTGTAGCATTGTTCTATGAGCAAGGTTCTTCTGGCTGGTCACTCTTTGTCAAACCAAGGCACTTTCTTAGTTGACTTTTGATATCCAAGCATACCAACTGCCAGTTCTTCCCTGGTTTCTTTGCATTTTTGCCACTGTTGATCTACGCTATCATCTTGATATAGATATTTAATTTTGACATTCATACTATCAGTAAAAATTTGTCTACCCTCAAGATCCTTCAGTTTTTCAATGTTGATCTTAGGCGATCGTGCTCCATGTTGATTTCTGATGTTTGCCCTAACCCTAGAGATTGTAAGGTAGAGATCAAAATTAGTGTTGTTTCCTCTGAAACTCTCACATCCATCAAACTTGTGATATTACGGCTGCTTATACAGATGTTCTATTTGGTTACATGTAAATCCATCATTGGAGTGTCATTTTGCTAGATGGATTCTTTCATGGGGGAACACAGTCCTTCCAACCGCAAGTCTCTTCAATGCAGTAAAATTTATCATCCTCATTCCATCATCATTTATGTGGTCATGGATGCTATGTAGACCAATCGTGGGCAAATATTCTTTCTCCTTTCCTACCTGCACATTATAGTCTCCCAGGATAATCTTAACATCAGCACTTGGGCATCCTGTTGTAGTGGTACAAGGTTTTTTTTGTTGTTTTTTTTTGACGATTATGAACAAATGATGTAAACATTCTGCCTGACTCATCTCTTAACAAACAAAAAACAACCTGGCAGAACTACCAATACTACTGCAGTTCCATGGATAATTCAGTTAAAGATAAACGATGCCGACAGATTATCGACAATACCAGTACTACTCACCATACTACTCTATATATTTGTCTAAGTGGTATTGATACAAGTACTCATTCATAATTGAGTATTATCAATTCCAGAACTACTTAGCAATGAAAGGAATTTTCCTCAGGGCTAGATCCAACAATGGAAGGAAATTTAAGAGCAATTTCATTAAGAATAATAATCATATTATATATTAATCATTCTTAGTTTATTTTTTATTATTTATTTTTATTTTTTTTTTCTGACATTGATTGACTAGCCCTGAGGAAGGCATACAACATAGGATACTAATAAATATTACACTATAATGTAATTGGTGTGATTGTTGACCGCCCCTCAGACCAACTATTCCTTCAATAAAAATGCAAAATGTTTGCTATTTAAGGTTAAGAAAATAAGTACAATTATCATATAATAAATTTTTATTAAAAGGTAAAAAATATATCAATTGATACAGCAATATCTATTGTTTGTTGTTTGTTATATGAAAAATACATTACAACACGCAGTTTAAAATCAGTTAACAAATAAAGAATTATTCATAAAAAAATAAAATAAAATAATTTTTAGTAATGTAAAATACAAAATTTATAACAGAAATAAAAATTGAAGAATATATTTTCGTTATATATTATTCATTAATTAAATACTGTCAGAAGTAAACAATGAAAGTGCCTACAAATTGAAAAAAAAAAATTAACATCATGTTGAATATCCTACATATACAACACTTTTCAAGTAAAGGAAAAAGGTTTAAAATAACAGAATACATTGTGATATATGATAAATCTGTAATCATAGGTAGTAAGTGAAGTGTGATTAGTCAATTAATATGTTTATTGATCTCCAATTGTAAAGTTAGATTAAAATTGCAATAATGCCATTTTTTTTCTATTTTTCAAAAATACGATTTACATAACACTTAAGTGTACAGCCCTTAAAAAGCTGCAATCATGAACATAACTAACCTATTTCCTTGGTCTACAGATTTGTTTTTTCTGTAAAACTGAGTCATGTTGCTTCTAGCAAAGATCATAAATGGCACTAACCTCATTTGCGTCTTAAGTATTCAATAAATGCTTTAATGGTCTGTATAAAAAAGGGGATCATAAGATAGCAGAATAATAGCCATAATATTTAGTCAATAAATGTTGAAACATTCAAGATAAGTAATATCTTTATTAAGTACACTAGGGTACTTTATGTAACAAATGATAACATACAAAATTATGAAGGGAGAATTAGTTAATTCTTTCATAATAAGTGGAATTTTGAGTTGGGTTAAAACTGTTTCAAGTGAATAAAATTACAATAAAGTATGTTTTAAAAACAGGGCATATACATAAGTATAAAAGTGATAGTAAATGAGACTCCTGTTATACATTACAAAATATGATTTAAATCAATATATAAATCTACTTTACGCGTTGTAAACGCAGAATCAGTAATTTCATCCTCTAAACTAAAATATTTTAAATCCAACAGAGATCACTATGTATATCCTAGAATATGTATAAAACCACAAGAATATAGACCTTTCAATGGAATGAATCAACTAAGCATCACAATTAAAATCCTACTACCAGTTATTTTTAATTCAAATTGTTTATAAGCATTAAAAAATACCTTGGATATTAAAGAGGTTACTAGAATAGTTGGCAATATTGAGAGAGAAAAATTATCCCTTACATTACAAATTTTTTATAACTTATTCTTATTTAAACACACATATACCACTAAGATTATTAATTGTAATCCTAGATTAATCCATAATAAAGCTACATTTGACATTGACTAATGTATATACAATAGGATTTATAAACTTAGGTTCTAGTCACATTCAACTTATGTTTTAAACAATTCAGTCAATAAAATTTAAATATTCGTGGAAACAAAACAATCATATAATAATAGAAAATTACATAACAAAAAATATATTTGGAATAATTATAATCACAAGAATTATGATTGTTTCAATAAAATGCTCACATATAGAGACAGCTTTTAGTATCATAGTTTCAACATCCTTATCATTAAACATAACAACAAAAAAAAAACTTACGATTGAAGTAAAGTCACTCACAAGTAAACAATAAAATAACACTAAATCACCCTGTCATAGTAATTAGTCAAATGAGAACTGATACCAAATACCACATTAAGCATTCATTAAACAGAGATCATATTTCTTTTTAATTCTCATTATATTGATTGAAAAACAATTTTTTGTTATGATCAAGATTCATAGAAAGTTATGGTGTGATATCTTAATTTGGAAAAACCTACAATCAGAGCTAATAACAATAACAATTTTTATTTTAAGTTATTGAAGATATCGTTGGCACCATGTTAAAGTAATGAATGTCAGCCTGTTTAATGTTGCACATTCGTTACTTTAACTTTGTATCAACGGTATGAAGAGATAATTCTTGAACAGCACAATGAAACATAAAAACAAAATTATGCAACATTTATTTCTGTTGGGCATATTAAGAAACTGTCAAGGAACTAAGTTATAATCAATTCAAGTCTTCAGATGACAATATAACAAGTAAAACGAAACATCCAAAAACTCACTAGATTGAGAAATTAAATTTTTTAGAGCAAATTAAAAACTCAGGAATAAAATACCATTATGGAAAAACAAACTACACATTCACACCTAAATTCAAACAAAACGGAAAAATAGTTCTACAGTGAAATAATTTATGTGCTGTATTCTACAGTTTAATATTACAAATTTCCACCATAATTACATTTTACAGTTGAATATGGATTCATCAATTGAAAAAGTTATAAGAATCACTTTTTTATATTCAATCAAAGATGAACACCTAAAATAACCTAAAAATAAAAATCAATCTTAATATCCGTCGGCCAACATAACCATGAATAAATGGAGTTCAAGATTATTAATGAAATGATTTTTTAAACAACCTAAATTTCATTCATCATGTAATATCCGGTACAGAGATATTATATCAGAATGTAAGAAGAAAAAATATATTCAAGAGCACCAACATGATAAACTAAAGGAACATAACTAAAGTAAATTTTAAATAATATTTAAATGGAAATTTTAAAATAATATACAAGAAATGTTACAGGATCGAGATGTTATACATTCAGATTAAAATACCATTTATTTAGAGTAATGCTGTTACATCACTCCATGTTCCATCACAATATATTATAATCATGAGAAAGTTATATCAAGGGGCGCATTTCTGAATTAACAACCTAAGCCCTTGCCTGCGATGGCAATGTTTAGAGCGTAGCAAAGGTTAAATTTTTGAATGAGTAGTACAAGAATAGAAACTAGTTAAATGAAAAATAAAGCAAAAATAATGTTAAACAATTTTTTTGTGACAATAAGAGGAGGTGTCATTATCTGCCACACCTATAGGGGTAGTACAACAAATCCGTTCCTGGTTATATTCTATTTTAAAAAAGTAAAAAAAAAAACATTACAAATATATTCAACTAGAACAACTGAAATATGAATTAAGTAAATGTCTTACCAACTATAGATACCTACATATATAAATACAGGAATTAAAGAAAAACACCACTTGCACGTAATAGACCTATAATTAATTAGTACGAGGGGCAGTTCAAATTTACATATTTTATATCTCAATTTCTACCTTCATTGGATATTCAACTGGTAAAAAATGGGGCAATATACATCAAAAGCTAATATCAACTAAATATCCTTTATGAGAGCATTAAAAATACATAAACGATGATTAATAAGGAATACTATAGTAAAATTAATCACAAACGAACAAGTTAAAGCTACTTAACATAAACATGTAGGATCTGCAGGTTCATCTTGAGGAGTCACTTTGAATGATAATTCCTCAAGGGCTTGCAGTTCTAATCTAGATCGATTTGAGGTTATTAGATGTTGAGCAATATCAGCAAACATTTCATCTACACCTTCTCCGGTTTTACAAGAAGTCTTGTAGGTCACACTGATTAAATTATGACACTGCTCACTAAAACAATTGAATAGTTTAACTGCGGTTGCAGAAAAAAATAATTGTAGAGAATTCACAGAAATAAAATATACCAAAAGTTATCCATATCAGCGTCAGTAACCTGAGGATCTTGCCCAACAAGATCGAATTTGTTCCCACAAAGGAAGATTTTAGCATTTTCTGCATAGGTCACGACATCTAACAAGTGCTGTGAAAGGACATGGAATGACGCAGGGTTATCAAGTGAAAATACAAGTATAGCTGCCTCAGCAAATTTATAGTAACTAGAGGTAATTGAAGCTACCCTTTCCATGCCTCCAGTATCCCATAACTGCAACTGGAAATTATAATTTTAATAGGAGTGATCATTGTATTACCAAATAAATTTCAAGTTACAGTACCCATACTTTTATTCGTTTTCCACCAGAAGAATATTCTTTATTAATGTGGTCAAGACCTAACGTAGATTTTCTATTATTTGAAGCAACAAATGTATTAAAAGCATATCTTCTGAACAGTGAACTCTTTCCTACTCCGAATTCTCCACACAAAATAACTTTCTGCTCTGGAATCTTAACAGTTGCCATTGAATAATGAACAGTAAATTATCACTGTATTGAATCACGCATTACACCTTCTCAAAGTAGTCATTTTTCTTTAATATAATCTTAAAACGTACCAGGAAAAACGAAAACAAATATAAGTAAATAAAAATCCAGGTTACTTGCAAGACAGGTACTGCATAACCGCGGATTCAGCGCTATCTCTTGATGTAATTTTGAAAGTTAATATTCAATAATGGTATGCCTTCTATTTCATAAAAGAAGACAGGAAAAAATATTTTTGAAAACTATTTGCCTTGGTTCCTATGATTACCGCAATATTTTATAACAAATTGGTTGTTGTCTCATAAAATACATCGTAGAGACATATTCTACGCTAAAAAAAATATATTTAAGGACACATTTAACTATTGAATCGTAGCATTAAAAAAAAAAATTGTGATAGAAAGTCGACTAAATATTTATATTAAATTGAGAAATAAAAACAATTGGGTTGCATCTGGTGGATACATCGTCCCCAAAAACCGCTGCATTGAAGCACCATTGAGGCAGCGATGATTCATCCAAGAATAAAGTAAAGCACTGAATTCCATTGATGGATCCATCGTTTGGTTTAGGAACACCCTGATATAGGAACGTATTTAGGATAGCAGAAATTCCACCCTATATTGACAAATGGTTCCGAGACCTATAGAAGAATTGAAAGATTTGAGAGGAAAGATTTCCGCGCCATAACCGGAGCTCTAATGGGATCAGAGTTCTATACGAAGAGATTCAATGAAGAACTGCTGACAGAAACTGATCAGTCTTGTGCCCTGAAGCAGAGAAAGATAAGATCGACAATTGGAAGCAGTCTATTAGGAAAGACGAGTCATGGAGTAGTCCATTGCTGAGTAAGCAGATGATGAGAAGATGCTACTATAGTTGGCACAGAATCATTTTTTTCCTCCCTGTCTTGCCTTTTAGGCAATACGGGTTGTAGCTGCAGTATGCGTATGCCACTGCTGGCAGTATTGGACTCTTTAATTAAAATTTTGTTAACATTATTATTTATGGGGTGTAGACTTGTTTATGTCCACATGCCCACACTTTTCTTTTTCTTCATTCTTCCACCTAAAGCCGGTCCTCGAAGTAGCTACAGCTTGTCATAAATTCCTTCTCTTCTTCCCAGATTAAAATGTGTAGTGCCTACCGCATCTTTCCACCCGTATACGAATTCCCTATAATGTGGGTAATTCTCTCTGCTCATTAGCTGCGGGAACATGCTCTCTGTCAGTGTATATATCCCCGTCTCTCTCAGGAGCTTAGCTCTTAGTGCCTCATAGGCAGTGCATTCGACGACCACATGTTCGGCGGTCTCCGGAACGTTGCATTTGGGGTTTAACGAGCTTCGCTCGGAAGCCCCCGTGTCCCGTGAGGAGTAGAGACACCCAGTAATCCGGGAGGACCCATCTTGCATCTAATCGTGACTTGACCATGGGGAATTAGTTTCTTAGGGTAGCTCCCTTCGGAGTTGCCATCCATCGCCGGTTCCATTGATCAACTGTGTCCTCTCTGATAATTCTTTTCCATCTTCTTGGGTCTTCTTCAATTCTCATCTTTAGATGTTCCTGTGCTGTCATCGTACACCAATCCCTCTCCCATCACTTACTCCCATTACCTACTCAAGATTTCCTACAGTCAACCGCTATTGTAATCAAAACCTTCTCCTTTCCAGTCACCCTTGCATCAGCATATTTCCCTCCTAACAGATCCATATCCAAAGTCCAGTTCAGTTCTCTCCTCAACTCCTTAGGTCATCATTTCATCCTGGGTGCAGACTTAAATGCCAAGCATCAAGTTTGGGGTTCAAGAACCACGAATTCTCGTGGCAGAACATTTCTGTCTGCACTCAATACCCAATGTTTCAGTCTCCTTCCACCCAACTCACCAACCTACTGGCCCACTGGTCCTAACCGCAATCCTGATATCCTTGATTTTTTCATCCACAATGGTTTAGGTCCCCTCAATCATTCCCATACCCGTCTTGACGAACTTTCCTCAGATCATAGTCCATTAATACTTCAATTATCAATAGCTCCTATTCCTAAACTCCCTTCACCGTCCTTCATCAGAGGTCCAGTTAACTGGAAACTCTTTCATCAAATCCTTTCCGATAAAATTGACCTCAGAACAACCCTGAAAAGCCCAGAAGACCTCGATAATGCCGTAAATTCCTTTACCACTAGTATTCAGCAAGCAATCTGGACTGCTTCCTCTCCAAATTTCTCCTCGAAAATTCCTAAGAAAAATAATTTACCTCAGCACCTGCTAGATCTAATTCATATCAAACGCCGTGCCCGAATATTATGGCAACGTTCAAGACTCCCCACCGATCGGCGCTCTTATAATTATTTCACTAAACGAATAAAGCAGGAATTGGCCATCTTCAAATCCCAATCCTTCAACTCCTACCTTACTTCCCTCTCTGTTCACGACAATTCTCTATGGCAGATCACCAACAAAATCCTGAAATTCCCTCATATTTTCCACCCCCTCCGTCGATGCGATGGCTCTTGGGCAGCGTCTGATGAAGACAAAGCTGAGGAATTCGCAAGATACCTCTCCTGAACATTCACTTCTCATCTGGAATCGAACCCCTCCCATACCACAACGGTAGAATAATTCCTTACATCAGCCATTTACTTTCCTTACCCCCTAAAGCAGTTAATACTTCTGAGGTCAAAAAACACTTACAAAAACATCCTCTCTGTAAATCTCCTGGAAACGACCTCCTTACCTTTCAAATCCTTCGACAACTCCCTCCTAAAGCTGTTATATTTCTGACTTATTTATACAATACCATCCTTAGAACCCCCCACTTTCCTCTTTTGTGGAAACATTCCACTATTATCCTGTTTCCGAAACCAGGCAAATCTCCCAACACCCCTACGTCCTACAGACCAATTAGCCTACTTCCAATCCTCTCCAAAATCTTTGTAAAGATCCTCCTGAAACGAATCCTACCTTTTATAGAATCCCAAAATCTTCCTTCCCATCAGTTCGGATTTCGTTCACAACACTCCACAGTCCAACAAGGACTCCGAGTGGTCGATCATATTTCCGCAGCACTGGAAAGCAAGCAATATTGCTCGGGTGCTTTTCTGGACATAGCTCAAGCTTTTGACCGGGTATGGCACGCCGGGCTTCTTTCCAAGCTGAAAACCTATCTACCCAGCCCTTGTACCTAATCCTCCGCTCCTACCTCTCTGATCGTACCTTTCGGGTTCGCTGTGGTTCAGAATTTTCCAACTCCTACCCAGTTGAAGCCGGTGTTCCTCAAGGTAGCGTCTTGGGCCCCGTCCTTTATATCCTTTTTACCGCCGATATCCCTGTCCATCCCAATACCTTCCTGGCAACATTTGCTGATGACACCGCCATCCTATCATCCAACTCAGATCCAGAAATAGCATCTTTAAATCTTCAAAGGCTCCTCTCCATGATTGAGCACTGGTGTAATAAATGGCGCATCAAAGTAAACGAATCCAAATGCAAACACATTACCTTCACACTCCGCCGCAGATCGTGTCCATCAGTCCACTTTAATTCCATCCAGCTTCCTTTTTCAGACACAGTCCGGTATCTTGGCTTTATCTTAGACCGAAGACTAACGTGGAACCCACATACTAGACTTAAAAGACAAGAACTTAACCGACGATACGGCCAATTATACAGACTACTGACCAGAAAATCTCAACTTTCAATTGACAACAAATTACTGATCTACAAGACAATCCTGAAATCCATTTGGACCTACGGACTTGAACTTTGGGGGAAAGCAAAGTTCTCTAACATCAAACGCATCCAATCCTTTCAATCCAAAGTCCTCCGAACAATAGTCGATGCTCCGTTCTATGTAACCAACAAAACCCTACATCATGACCTTAATATCCCATTTGTCCTTGACCTTATCCCTGAAAAATTTTCAAAATTCCATCAGAACCTTATCAATCATCCAAATCCCCTAGCCAAATCCCTATCTAGTTCCACTCATCTCTACAACCCTCCTCGAAGGTTGAAGCGGCAGTGGCCCAGAGATCTTTTATAGTATTTATTTTGGAGTTCTGGCAATGGCCAGATTCTCCACTCAAGACATGAGTGTATGTGGCTAAAGCGCTCTCGCTCAAACTCCACCGGCTTTAGCACCGGTGAGGCGGTTGAGAGAGTAGCGCAGGGATTTGGGTTCCCTGCCTGATTGTATATATTGTATATAGGTATGATTGTATTTTTATGTTTTTAATTTACTTATATTTAGGTTATTTTATTTGTATATAGTTTTTATTTATTATTATTTAGTTATTGTTTTACTTTGTTAATTTTTTTTTTGTATATACTGTGTGAATGTGTTCATTTATAAATATAATTATTGTCCCTGAGACAGAATATTATATGTTTAAATAAAAAAATAAAAAAATAAAAAAAAAAATGTTCCTGTAGATCCGCCGAACCTTCTCTTTTCATTGTAAAGAGGTAGCAGTCTTTTGGAGGAGATCGAGAGGTGTCCGCCCTTCCAGTACTTGCACTGCCTCATGAGATATCGTTCTATAGGTTCTAGTAACCCGAAGTAAAGCCAATCTCTGTAATCCATGCTAGCCTACTCTTCTGTCGATGCGAGAGGTTTAGGTTCTAGGTTCCAGACTGGGGAATGTGTTAAGTAGCTTTAACTTGTTCGTTTGTTTTAGTATTTTACTATAGTATTCCTTATTAATCATCGTTTATGTATTTTAAATGCTCTCATAAAGGATATTTAGTTAATATTAGCTTTTGATGTATATTGCCCTATGTTTTACCAGTTGAACACTCGATCACCACACGCTGTCAAATGCACAGGATATGTCGAACAGGAGAAGCAAAACACACCTCTCCGTTCTTTCTTCTATGGAATTCTAATATGGCATCTGCGGTTCCCTTGCCTTTAGTGGATCCATATTGCCGTGGATGGCTCGATCTTAATAAGACTGGCTCAAGAGCAAGTTCGTATATAATCTACAGTCTTCTGATCACTATGTAGCAAACTGGAAGATGTAGCTACGACCGTATGTAGAGTTTGATAAGCAAGATATACAAATTAAAAAACAAAACAGAGTTGTTTAGAGGAAGGGAGAGTGAGTGTATGTCGGTTAATGGGGGTATTAGTGG